CATTTTAATTTCAAAATTATTGTTATTACCTATGTATTATAAAAAAGAAAATGTATAATACAATAATTGTCAATTCGAAATTATGTTCATATCAGATACTTTTAGAAATTATTATCCAACAAAATTAATTAGATTGTAAATATTAAAATAATTAATTAAATAGTAGTCATATAGGTATGCTATAGTGAGTACTTTATTGCAGTCATTAAATGGATTTTATAAAATTTTCGAACAGGAGGCAGCGACAACTGCAGTCAGATAACAAGACTTTATATGAAGAAAACTTCATTTGACAAGTAATAGGCGCAATGCGTGTACTTGCAAGTTGAAGTGAATCATTTAATTTATAGTTAAATCTTCCGGAATATTATTACTCGTTGTTTTCTCATCATACAGGATTGTTTGAATATTTTTAAAATGTAAAATCCTTTATATTTTTAATTTTTATATTAAAATATATTGTAGTTTAGTTAGGTCATATTATCTGCCCTATTGGCTATTGTACAATATATTATGTTATGCCTATTTTACTAATAACATCGATTTTTTCTCTTAATACAATTGGACAAACGATATCAAATAAACTACAAAATATTTTGATATAAAATAATGGATTTAAAGCGTAATATTAATACAGTTGATCCATGCAGCTAATCCTGTCAGACAATGGACAAACAATTCAAAATAAGCTATTTACCTATTTCTCCCGGTTTCAATTTGTTTTATTTTTTTATAGGTTCTAATGCTAAAATTACAGTATGTGATCTCTTAATTTTATTATTTCCAGAAGATTGAAACCAAAATTAGATTAAAATAGGTAATTGATAATTTCCAAGAACATTTAAATATTTTGGAACGTACTCATATCGTCATATTCTACTATTGTAAAGTAATTACTAACTCTTTTTTTAAATTTTTAATTGGCCAAGAAAAAGAATACACTTTGAGTTTTAAATAGTTATTATGTTAAATTTTGCTGATATGTATTTAAAATAAAAAATAATTCATCATTTTGTTTTTATATACGAGTATAGGTAACCAAACTCTATGAACAATTGTATTGAAAGAAAAAACTATACATACAACTTAAAATTGGTTACCAAACATCTGTATTATAAAATAGTTAAATGTGATCTATTCTTTAGGTAGAAAACTAAGAAGTTGATTTTAATGGGACCGAGTCAAGTGCTGATATCCTGATCTATTATGTTTAGAATTGAAACTGGTTTTGTAGGGTAATGGCATTTTACTGCATGTCTGCATTCTTTTCTGTTATTAACTAAATAATTTACAAAAACATTCCTTAAAATATTAGTTCAATAAATAGTAATATTATAATTAGTTGAGTACCAATGAGTTTTGGACTATAGTGTATACTACTATTAATAATTACCTACTATAAAAAGAAAGTGGAAAAACGGTTTCACGCGAGAAAAAAAATAATCGTAGCTATTTTCGTTAAATTTAGATTTAAATTTTACTAATCATATTTGTAATATTAACTAGGTACCTATCGACAGTTTATGACAGCAATGACTATACCTTGGTGACTAGGTATTCTATTTAAGCAATAGCATAGAACAATAGAGTGCATCTAAATTCTAAATAGGTAGGTAGATAGGTACCTACATGTTAAATGATAATATCCTCGCGGACCAGGAAACTCTTCGGTCTTGTCAATTCTAATCCTGTTGTAAATGTTTTTTTTATAGCAGGTATAGGTGCACAGTGACTACACACTGTTTTGCGTAATACGCTGCAGCGCAACCGGTCTATTATTGTACTCATTGTAGGTTACCTCACGTTATTTAAATAATGCTACTGTAGTCTATAGCCCTTGTATGGCAAATTGCAAAGGAGATTTAAAAGAATTATTTATTTCAAAACAGAAGTGGCAATATTGTTATTGTATATAATATATATGATAACAATTACATATAGTGTTGTACCACCGAAGGGTTGAGCCAATATTTATCATACCATCCCAACAAACCTAGGTAGGTCAGAAACTTTTCATTTTTTTTTCAAGTTATATCTAACGGATATATAAACGTAAAATAGGGAGTAAAATATCCAGTATAATTGTATGCATTACTAGCTGATCCTGCAGTGCACTTTGTTGACCGTTAAAAATTCCTACTCTATATTAGACTCGCTTGTGATAATGCGAGCAATATATTATCACTTATCAGGTAGGCGCATACTCTATATGAATAACATGTTTTATTTTTATTTTGATTTGTGAACTTGCGCGATGATAAGTGCAACTCAACGAAATTGGTAGATTGGTAGGTAGTTCGCACAAATTCGATTGGATGCATGATGCTTATACCGATCTGTCCGATTAACCAATTGCAACCTAAAAATAAAAAAAAATAGTAATTACTTTTTTTATTGTTTTTTTTTTTTAATCGTTGGTGTCAATACTGATGCTTTAATATTAAGCCGATGTCACCCTGAAAAGTGTCCATGCATATATTTATGTGTATTTATTATATTTAAACTTATCCTTGTCTTCCAAAATCTTTAAATATATTATCTAATAGGATAATTTGAAATCCGACGTTTGAATATGCAGTGAACATCGCAGCTTATTATAATCATGTTTAATGTTATTAACAATTGTACATAGTTATCGAAAATTCTATGTTCCGGCCGGATGCGTGTACTAATTTATGTAAATTACCTCGGATATTGTGAACAGTAGATATACACAGCATCAGTTCAAGGGCTATTTTAATATTTTATAACTGGTCCGTTTTTAGAGTCAACAAAATAAACTGCAAAAAGTGAGCTCGAGCCCTGAAACAGACGTTGGAAAACCTCATAGTCCTGCCGAATTGAGAGATGAGAAAGGTCTATGACTTGTACAAAAAGGAGTTCAATCTAAATCATAAAATTGTAAACGACATTATGAATACAAAAGTTTTGTAAATTAATAAAACCTGTTAACAACGAAACATCATTGGATGACTAATTTTTAAGTATTTAAGTAAAAATAATCATTAATAACGCATTTATATTTTTACTAAATATTTATATTTGTTTTAATTAATATACATATAAATAGTTATATCTAAGAGTGCAATACATAATATATATATATTTATATAATAATTTATATATTATATTATATAGAAATAATAGATTTCATTACACCTATAGTTAGGTAAATGATAATACAATAACAATTAATTTGTTGATATGAAATGCCCCAGTTGATAATGTTATTTTTTTCTATTTTTTCTTTGACGTTATCATTGAAGTCTCATATACACCAAAAAGATAAAATTAAGAGGCGTCCGCTTTATTTGGTGGTCATTTTTTAGTACACTTAAATTATGCTATAAGAATCCCCCGGTCCAGTAGTTTATCGTTCTGGACACATCCTACACTACCACCGAAAATATTTATCTATTCGTGCCCCTGAATCTAATATAAATAATTATGAAAATATATTAGTCACCATGACGTGGTATAATATTGGTACCTTTAAAAGAGTCTTTGAGGACTTAGGACTTGTATTTCGTACACGCCATCTCTATCCTTGATAGATCTAAAATCGATTAAATTGCTTGTCTATACGAATTCTCAGATTTTTACGACACAATTATAAATTAAATTCAGCACCGTGGTTTGGAACCGCTTATACCTTTCTCGTACGATCTTTTCTGGATTAAGGCAATAAGGCCCCATAGTATACAGAGTCCTTTTCTACAGATTGAGATAACAAATACCTTGAACAGGTCCATAAATGGTTTTATGGCTATTTAATTTGTTTAATTTCTTATCCGACATAACGTCCCATGTTACAGTAAGATAGTATTAAGTAACAGTTCAACAGTTGTGAAAATTGACCATCCTCTGAATTACAGCCGCTGTTATGGAGGTTTTAAATTTCGCGATTTTCTGGAGCCGATATAGAGACGAACTATATAAGATTTGATCAAAATGTTTTGCTAAAACCACTGCTTGGATTCACTTCGGCTTCTCAAGTACATAAAAGCTCACTGAGTTTCAATAAACTACATATATATATAATAATAATATTTATTTTTGCACTAATAGTTTTACAATAGATATAATAGTATTATAATATAATATAATATGATACATTGATATGCCTAATTAAAATAACAGAAGTTGGTCAATTTCAAGCCACTGGCCGTGTGGAAATGAGAATTCACAGAACAGTATTAAATCGATAATAATACTAAGTTCTACATAATATATTATGTGAGTAGATACTTACAAACAAATAACAATCAATTAACAAAAAATACAAATGCAATGAATAAAAAATAAAAAATAAGCAATAATAATATCGATTAAGTTAATTATAAGTAATTAATTAGGTATACTAAGGTCTAAGTTATATCATCTCATGAAACGTAATTTACATTTTACAAGATAACACCACATGACATTCCATAATATTCTGACTTTCGGTTCAAATGTTTTTCAATAAACAATCTTTGCTTAGTTAGATCTATAATATCTATAAATTGTATTAATGTTGACATCTCCATGTTAAATTTAAAACATTTCAGTTTGAATGTTAAAAACAAAATAATATGTTAAATAGCGTCATAATATTATAAATATAATATTTTGCACCAAAGAAATGAGATTTGTTTGTTCACATTAAAGTTTTTGAAACTTATTATTTTCACATCACCAACTATACGATCAATTCAAAATCGGAAAAACTTAAGAAGAAACGTTGGTCATTATGTAGAGTTGTAGACCACCGGGGAACGTCCATTTCGTGGAACTGGAGTAACACATAAAGAGGGTAAGGGGTCATGTGTTCGAAAGTCATGTGTTCGAATGCTGTATGTTCGAACGTTAAGTGTACAAAAAATTGTCTGTTCGAAAGATTATATGTTCGAAAAGTCGTATGTTCGAAATTATCGATAAATTAAACACGAATTTTACCAAAATATTTAATATTCGTTAATTCGATTTTCTGCGTAAAAAATTAAATTTAAAAATAGGTACCAAAAATTCGTAAAATAAATTAGTCGTTAATAAATGTAAATGCTAAATAAAAAAAAAACTAAAAACTTAAATTATACGATATTCCTCTTAGAAACTCAATAATACTTATGTCTAAATTTTTTAGTCTTAGAACTAATTTTTTAATTCTTTGTTCCCGTTCTTCGTTGCATGTTTTTCTTTTTTTACTTGTTCGGCCTTGAATGATTTGCTCTATAGAATTTTCAGTTTCATTCTGAATTTTTTGGAACTGTCTCATCAATTTGTAAACTCCTGGTTGTTTTGATACTAATCTATAAACATTTTTTAATAGTTTAATTAGTTGTAACAATTATGTTATGGTTATTGATATATTGTTCCTATACCTATTAAGTCGACCGTGCCATGATTCAGCAATATTTGTTGTTCTTGGCAAATTTGCATCAATTCTTGAAGCTACTGACCACATGTCAATTGGAAATAAGGGGGGGTGTCGTTGAGGTTTAATACGTCCACGTAGTCTCATAGCTGGTTTACCATAAATGTAAGTATTTTCGAAGTATTCTAAAAGTGATTGTTCTCTTTCGTTATCACTAAATAATAATTTCACAATTTCCCAACCTTCGATTACCTAAAAAATATATTAATATATTTAAAAAATTGCAAGTTCCCACGAATAATATTATTATTAACATTGCATGACTCTGAAATATTAGATAGTAATAAAATAAATAATAAAATTAAAAAAAGTAAGTGTTATGTAATTTTTTTTAATACGTACTTTATTTACTGGAAGAAAAGAAAGAGCAGGTAAATGCCGACAAATCAAATTAAATTCCAGGTCTTCCATATACTTTGTAGATAGCCCTTCTTTTTGAATATGGCGCCAGATATTTTGACAAAAGTGAAAAAAACAAGCAGAATGGGTTACAAATGGAAAGACGTCATTGATCGCGTTGATTGAAGCTTTTTCAAAGTCCGTTATTATTTCAAGTTCCTTATTACTTTCGAAATAAATATTATTTTTAATCGCAAAATTATTAAACTCGTTTAGCACTGTTTTATAGTCATCTTCAGTTTGGTTGGTCATCAGTACGTATACCAATGGTACACAAATGTTGTCATTAATACCTCGTGAAATTGATCCATGTATTGTAAATATCTGTTTAAAAATTCCAGGACAAGCTTTAAAGGTTCCATCAGCGAGCCAAAAATTTGATTCCCTCAAGTATATACAATTTTGAACAGTTGTAAAAATCATAAATTTATTATTTCCTTCGATTGCATTTTTCAAAAGGAAAGGTTGTCCTGAAATTGTATTTTGAAGTTCTAAGGAAGGTATAAAATTTAATGAAACTGGTTCTAGTTCTTTTCCTTTTCTTTGTCTTTTTACGATTTGCTTGGATGCGTTTTTAGTTACTTGAGATGAAATTATAACGTTGGAATTTGCAATTTCGTTTTGATATATTTGATTTGGCGAATCTTGTGAATTTTGAGCACATTTTTTAATTTTATTTTTTAGAATTTTGCAATGGTGTTTAACTGTATCTGGTGGGTGAGAATGGTCATTATTAATAAAACAATTGTCTTGTTTATGTTCACCGTGCTCAAATATTGTCCGAAACGTTGCTCCACATCGTTTTGTACATTTCCAATAATATATATTATTTTGATCTCGTATTCGCAGTCTTTTCTTATCAAACATGTATTCATAATTATTTACAAGTAACATTTCCTTGTCATGTATACTTTTAAATGTCTGTATACTAGCCATTTAAAAAAAAAAAACCACTTACACAAATTGTATAAAATATTATTTAAAAACAACGTTCAAAGGAAATTGTATTCGATACTTTTGTAATGATGTATCGAACTGTACTGATAGATGACAAAAAATTACTTTTAATAATATCTATAATGCTTTCCCCACGTAAAATCAATAAAGATAAGTTTGTGTGAAATCCAATATAATGAAAACTCGATTAATGTTATTAGGGTTATTTTTGTTTAGTTTCATTTATCGACAATTTCGCACATACTACCTTTCGAACATATAATCTTTCGAACATATAATCTTTCGTACAGACAATTTTTCGTACACTTAACGTTCGAACATACAGCATTCGAACACATGATTTTCGAACACATGACACGCTACCCATAAAGAGACATACTTCTGCAAACGAAGGACAACGAGAGGACTAGCGGGATGTCGGATCTTGATGCCATTTGGCCGATGGCGGGGAAGAACGAGGTTCTTTGAGATGACCGAGCCACGTTCTCGTTGGGCCTTTGCGACGACGGCTTAGCGGGGTGTACTTCAGTAATGCGGCCGAAAGCGGGTTAACCGGCGGAGGTGGAGGATGAGCTCAACGGCGATGAATACTGAATATGGCATGCAGCGTCATTTGCAAAAAAAAAGATCAGGGTCAGCAGAGTTTGGAGATCAGCCAACGCCGAAGGACCACTGGAAGCATACATTATTATGTAATTGAATTGTTGCTCACCTGTGTTCGTTCTGCTGTTAGGCAAGTGGTAGGGAAAAGCGGACGAGAAAGCCGAATTGCAGATCGAGGTGCGTGTGTCCGAATGTGTTGGAACCGGAGATGGAGACCTGATCAGGGAGGAATTAATGGAAGTGACGGTGAAACTGAATTGGGTTAGAAGCAAGATACCTACGTGGCAGTTCACAAAGAAGCGTGACAAGTAATTTTGTAAAATTTCAATACATAATATATACAAAATATATTGAATATCAAAATAAGTAAGTTATAAGCTTACATTATTATGAACTAAGAATGTTACAACTTATTATAAGCCATAAGAGATATAAAAATGTCGAAGAATCGTGAAAAAAATCAAAATTGTTATTTTTGTTTCATAATTTCAGCATTCGGTTATAAATTTATAACCGGAATTTTTACAACCAAATAATCCAAACCTAACTAGAATTATAGAATTCCTGTCTCTCTTCTTAAAACGTCCACTGCCAAGCTCATTACCCTTTTACCAGTTCCACCGTCAAGTCCAAAGTTCCTCCTGCAGTCACCGTCTCCGTGTCCGGCGCACGGGGCACACCTCTCGGTCTGCAACCAAGCTTTCCGGTCCAAACCGCACGACCGCATTGCCTATACCAATAGAACGAACACGTGGACGAGGGCAGCAATACCGGCGATTGTGGTCCTTCGGCAAGGGCTGATTTTCTTCTATAGCTGATCCTGATCCTGCTCCTGCAGTGGTGGCTGCTGCTGCTGCATTCTATATCCGCCGCCGTCGAGAACCATATTCTCTTGGGCCGTCGAGATGGTACTGCCGGCTGAACCTTAGTTGGCCTCACATTGTAGTGCACTGCGCCGTCGTTGCCGCCCAACGAGAACACCCCATGTAGGCTTGGAGTCCTGGTCCGATAGTCTTGGTCCGCAAATCCTATGGTTGTCTTTCGTGCAGTATGTCTGAAAGGCGGAAATGGAGATTCCCCGATTTCGCACCAGCAGTTCTCCTTAAAGATTTGAACGGTTTCTGGAAATGATCGTCGGCCAAAAGCTGCTCTGTTTCAGACGTAATAACCTGAAAAGTTTGACAAAATGTCAACGTTTGATAAAAATAAAGAAAAATTTACATTTTAATATTGACTATATATATTTTTTTTTCATAACTTATAATAGGTACCTAGTATTAATATAGTTACCAGTGGTGTATTGGTAAATATATTTATGGGTATACCTATGCACTAATAAAATTTGTATGTACCCCTTTTTTTTTTTTTTTTTTTATTTATACAATTTACAATCTGTTACATAAAAGAACGATGAGTAAAAGTGATGAATGAATAATGGCTTGAGTGAAACAGATTAAAGAGACCTTTCAGTAAAGGCACTTTGACAGTTACTTATCACTTATGTACATATAGGTATATGGGTTTACAATAGTATTATTTACAATTTAAAGTTTTTTTTTTTTTATATTAGTAGATCCCGACACCACCGCCTTTTTAATCTTTTTCTGGGGTTACCAGGTATATTTGCTGACGCAAGACCTTTGATTAAGGGATTGGTGTGGTTTTGAACATTTAGATTGAATCGCCTATAAAAAGTTTTGGCTACGTCAAGGACGGGTGGGGTACCTATGTACTCTAAAAATTATTTAATCGCTACGCTCTGAACAATACTAACTTCAGTTTTTAAGTCTTTTTATTATCAAATATTTCATTTTGGTAAAAGAAACCTTAACTTACAATATGTATTATATATTTATATTATTCTTTATTATACATAAGTATTATTACCTATAGGTACAGTATACGGGCATACGGCCATACCTTTGTTAAAATGTATAATAGATAACATTATACCTACCAGGCGCGGATCCAGAACATTTTTACGGGGGGAGGGGGGGTCATCAAATATTATTAATAGAGATTATCAGGGTTTATTATGATAATATTTTTCGACATCAGGATAATGATGATTACTGATTAGGTTACCTTTAAATAGACTAAAAAATAATTAAAAAACATTTTTTTTTTTTTATATTTAGGTTATTCAATCTTACATCTCATTTTATTGCTTATAAAATATTTAATTACATTACTTTTTCTACATTTGAGCTAAATATTACTAGAGCCTATAAGAATAATTTAATGTGAAATAATATAGTATTTTCATTGATTATAGAATAGATTTAATCTATAATAAATCATATTATTTTTTTCGCAAGCCTCTTTTTTTTTTTAATTTTGGGGGGGGGGCATTGCTCCCATGCCCCCCTTGTATCCGCGCCTGATACCTACTACATTATTCTTATTAGAATTTAGTAAGCCATATGATACATTGACACCAAAAGCCAAATAGAATTTAACTGAGCATAATATTATTAATTTTTTATATCTCACATTTTATTTTTGATGTATTCTTTTTTTTTTTTTTTTCATTGAACTTAAGCCCGGCGACTAAGGCCATTAGCTGTTGTAGGGGTTATGAACTGTGGTAGGGGTAAAGTTGGTACGGTTGGTTTATTTTTACGATTATTACGGTTGTTACGGTAGGTAGAAAACACGTGTATGTGTGGCAAGGTTTTGAACTACTATGAACTCGAGTGGTCACCCATCCGAGAACTAGTAGCTGTGGCCGTTACTTACTCACAGTCGCATTCCGCAACTGGTAGCAGCCAACGCGCCACGCCAAGCCACTTTGATGTATTCGTTACATCATTTATCCTTGCTTTCTTCGGTGTGGAGCAAAAAAAATCAACATTCAACATTGTTATAACTATAATTTTACAAACGAAAATAATAATTTGTCTTTATGTGGAGTTACTATGTTAGAGCTCAACACGCACGAATGCACGATGATAAAAAATAGGTATCTACCTACTGAACGAAAATTGTAAATCATACTATGCGCGAAACAAGTAACAACCATTCCGTTGTGGGTTGTACATTTAAATAATAATAGCTATAATGACTGTCGACTGACGCTGTGACATACGAGAACTTCATCAGTGTTCTTCGCTATTTTCAGTTGTTAAAAGCAGCATAATAAGCTCCTTTTATTTTATTATCTATTTACTATTTAGTGAAAAATTATTAAATTCAAAATTAATATATTTCCTAAATATCAGTTAGTTTGAAGGGCCGGATCGAAAAGCTATAGGCTGGACTGGATACCCTGATCTAAACAATAATTAAAAGGTGATAATCTTTATCGTAGTAATTAAAGCTTATAAGTTATAAGTTTATAAAATTATAACTAATGTTTCAATTAATTGCGTACAGTTATACTACATAGATATTTTTTATAGGATACATGACAAATGAAATAACTTTAGTATTCTAATCAATATTTAAAATAGATTATTTTCTTTATATAAACAATTACAAGTACAGTATAACATTTTTTTATTCATAGTACCAAAAATTTAAAATTTAGTTAAAATATCAATATTTTTGAATTTTAATAATTTTTTTCAAAACATTATTTTGTGAATTTTTAGTCATAAATAAATCTCAAACCACATAAATTTCTTATTTTTTTTCAACTTATATCAAATTTTAATTTTCCATTTGTCAGGTATTTCTGTCATACTCTGTAAATCAAAATATTGTATAAATTATATTCATTTGTATATAATAAGTTATTATGTACCCAACTAAACCCCATTAACTTAAAATAATACCAATTTTTTTTTTTGGAAGGGGGGGGAGGTTGAACACCAAAAGTGTATAAGGCACTGGTTTCAATAGTAGTTTAAAGAAAAACAAACATAATATTTTTTTGTTTAATAGCTTGAACAGTTTTTTTTCAATGAGGATATGTGAAGAACAATGATTAGGTATATTATAAAGAGACTAAAAAAAATAAAACAATTTTTTCTGATAATAATAAATGTCCCGTTTCATGTTTGATAACAGCACACAACAATTATCTATTTCAATAGGTACATAGTATTGTATAACATTATCTAATAACCTAAAATAAATAAGTAATCAGAAAATTTGGGTATGAAGATTTCACATTGAATTAAATATTAATTACAAAATGTACACAATTAAAAAAGAAAAAAAAAGTGTAAACAAGCTAACTTAAAAAAAGTCATATATTATACATAGTATATATTTACATTTATATATTAAAATAGACAAATACATGAACGTACAAGACATATATAATATATATATCAGGCAAGGACACTCAAATAAACAATATCAACAATGTGGAAACAAAAAAATTACATTTAAAAATGGTATTTTTCTTTTTTTTTACAGAATTGCACTTTTTCTAACATCAATGTATGTCTGTGAAGGTGACAAATAACATGGAAAAAAACAGTTTACAAGAAAATACAACCCACATAAAAATAAAAACATCTAAAAATCTAGGGCGAGAATATTTATCTTAAACAAATAAACAAAAACTTAAACTTCTGTAATATTGTTTACAAAACTAACGTATTGACTAGGTTTAGAGTCATGGCCACACAAAAATGTATGACTTTAATATTTTTTTTAACTTTAAATGCTCAAATAGTAAAATTTCCAAAATGGTAAATAAAAGTAAACAATTAAATCATAATTTAATGAGGCTTAAAATAGTATTTCACTGTATTTTTTTATTAACTTTTATTTTTCTACAAATAGAAAATCCCAAACGCTAGAGTAATGTATAATAAAAACTTCTAAGAAACTTTAAACCACGAACAAAATTACATTATTATAACATTTAAAAATTGTATAGAAAAGATAATTTACCCTATGCTTTTAAAGAGTAAATTATCTGGACCGAATGGAAGTGATAAAAATATATATTATTTTTGTACACAGGTTTGTGGGCAGAACAACAAGGTGTATACATAAGTATATACCATCAATATATTACATGCACACACATATATTATACATTTAAGAATTAAAAATACCGACAATCATTACCCTATATTATTTAAAATTTATTTGCCAAGGTCATCGAAGCACAGGTAATGTTGAAGTTGTTCTCATTGGTCCGAATTAGACATGTTAGCGCCTTCTTCTTTAATTTCGCCAACTGTAGCATTGATCAGTTTGTTGTCTTTTAATGAGATCAACTGCAACACTTGTTCGCCATTTTGCCCGGTGATGGCTACCAACTGATGTGGCACATTAATGGTTTCTACTTCACAATTTGATGAATCCATCCCACCACCGGGCTCAGACTTGGGCATATGATGCATAACCGGTGTGACAACCTGAAAATAATAATAATTGGCAAGGTAATCATTTATCTATTTGATCTGTAGGCTAGAAAACTGTACCTGTATGCTACCTTCGCTGATTTGTTGACAAACGCTTTGGTATAATGAAGTACTAACAGGGACTGTAATCATGCTTGATACTGAAAATACAACACTGTACATATTATTAAATAATCATTAAAAAATACGAATAGCTGATTCACAAATAATGAATGTTATACTTATTTACTAATATATTAAGGCTTTCAGAACTGGATTTTTATTAAGGGGCGAAAAATTCAGGAAATTTCTAAATGAGACACTGCGGTCATACAATTAGCAATATGAAAAAATAAAATCTAACTATTTCAATAATTTAAAACGACTTAACAATGAGAACAATCACACATCATAAAACTTTAAATAATGCCAGAAAAAATTAATTTTAAAACACTAAAATATGTATGAATATACAGCAATAGCATACATATATATACATATATAGCTATTTCTGAAAATATAATTTTTTATATATGAGCCCGTAGAACCTGTGTAAGAGGTTCATTTTTCAAATAGAAAAAAAAACAAATGACAATTAGGGGTGAGATTTTTGCACCAAAAATCTGTTGGCTCCGACACTCGTGCAGAAAACTCAAAATGCAAAATAGATAATATCTATTTTATTACACACGATACTGGTGAATGATATAGTAAATAACAAAGATACCAAACATCTTTAGTACAGATAAAATAAAAAAAAAACAAATAAATATTAAAAGGTGTTAACTAAGCTGAGAACTAAATATCTGATTTGGATTGTTGGAGAATAATCTGAACAGCCCAATAACATCAAACTAAACCGGGGGAAGGGATAATTTAAAATTTAGTTTTTAAATGTATTTAGCTAACATTAAACACTTTTTTCAATGTTGTCCAATTGCAATTTTTTTTTAATTTAATGGAATTTCTTAAAACTCAAAATTATTTAAATTATATTTTCTTATAAAAATATAAGCATATTTACCTTGTCCATCTTCACCAGTAATAATTATTTGACCTTCTTGATTCAATGTGGCTTCAGGTACATTATTTAATATATCTACAGTAACACCATCTTGATTTTGGCCTTCGCCAAGGGTATGAACAGAATGAACTGTGTGGCCATTTGGTCCTTGGGAAGCATTTATCTATACATAAAATATATAAATATATGATCAATATTCTGTTACTAATTTTTAATTTATTAAAACAATACTTACAACTCCTTGAACATGGGCTTGAGTTCCATCAGGTAACGTAATAATTGGGTTATTTGGATCAACATGAAATATGGACATTGACCCATCAACATTACTAATAGAATGCAGGAACGCCGGAGAATACTGTACCTTTTAAAAAATATTCGTTGTAAATATTTATAAATTTAATTTTAATAAATTTCAAATTAAACCTGGGTTAGTTGTTGTTGTTGTTGTTGTTGTTCCTGTGCATCTGGCGAATTTCGAGCTTCAATACTAGTTGCTTTAGGATTGAATTTGAGCACAGAAGTAACAATTGATTGACTTGCAACATTATTAACAATTGTTTTTGCCTCATCTTCTTCACTAAATGTAGGCAATAAATCTTCTCGGCCATGGTATTTATAACAGTTTATAACAATCTGTCGTAATGCTCTTGTCCAAGAAATCTGGTAATACAAAAAAAAAAATATTAAAAAATGATTCTAAATGCTTATTAATAATTACTTACTTTTTGTTTCTCGTCCTCACATCGAGCATCCATCCTCACATTTGCCCAAGGTAATTCATTAGGCCACCAAGGTGGTCTGGTACTTTCTCTGCCCCAACCAGGTTTCCCTCTACCTAATAAATATAATAAAACCAATTATTTTGGATGAGTATAATAAAACAAACATTTTTCATCGACTTAATAAAAATCTGTTTTTGCATGCAATATTTAAAAAAACTGTATTCTAATATTCAAATAGAATTAAATTTTAAAAATGTTAAAAATAAATGTGAATTAGGTTGTAGCTCTATAGACTTAATCTAACTCTGATAATAGTTAGGTGGTTAGACTATATCAAATTGTTCAAATCATAACTGTACATTTATCTGAAGTGAAATAGGAACTTAAGTTAACCTCGAGTCCATGAAAGTATATTAAAATCACAAAATATCTACCAAATATCAATATGTATAATATTCATATGAAGTACATGTCAATAAAGTGTTTATCCTTCAAAGTTTCACCAAAAATTGAATTTTCATTATCATTTGCATTATGCCATTACCATGGATTATATCTTAAATAATCAATTAATCTTACCGGTGGAATATTTCAACATTAAAGGTATAAAAGCTCTTAATTGAGCCTGGGTCATTTTTTCGACAGGAGTTGGAATTCCATCTAAAATAAGTGGTGGCAGCTCATATAGAGTGGGGTCATCTGGAATAGGTGGTGGTGCATGTTGTGCTAATGCAGTATCCAGTTGGTCCATAATAGTGGCACGTAAATTTTTTACCTTAAGATGTAAATGGTTTGCAATATTAATATAAATATTTTACATTATAAATCTTAATGTACTTACAACATCTTCTAAGGGTTTTGCACCAAAGCATTTAAAACCCGTGGTTTCCTTCCCAGGAGTCGCTACTAAAACGATTGCTTGTTGACCAACTCTGGTAGCAAACTCATCAATGGTAACCTTGAATGCAAAATTTAAATTGTACATAGTAAATTTGTATGTTCTAATACTAAAAAACTCACTTTGAGTTTACGTAGTAACCGGTTGTGCTGTCGTTTTCGAATGGATGGATTGGTCTCAAATGAATGTGGCCTTTTTCGCTTTTTTGATGACACAATTGCAGCAGCAGCAGCCATTCCAACGGGTCCTGATCGACACAAACCATAACAAAGACCCCTAGTGTTCGACGATCCGCTATTGCGTTTTTCTACCAGCCAAACACAAACACACACACGCAAAACAAAAAAAAAATAGTGCAAAACAAAATAAAGACAAAACATGCATAATAATTACAAAATTAAACCATTTTTTTTTCTGTTCTATATTTAAAATAAAAATAGTCTATGTAGAAAAAAACTATGAAAATAAAAAAACAACATAAAATCAATGTCTACTGTTTTCATTATTTTTATAGTTGTTTTCGAGTATTGTATATCAAGATGGTCTAGTGTTAAAAAGAAGCAGTGAATCATAAAGAATAATAATAATAATAATAAAAAGTGCCAATTGTTAGAACACAAATATTATAAATAAAATGTTAAGCTAACCTGCTGCAGCAAGCTGTGCAGTCACATCATCTCCCATTGCCGCAGACATCAAATCACTTTTACTCTGGTTGGAGTCCCCATCACAGTCATCAGATGATAAACAGCCATCATCATCTAGATCGCTGTCTCCAGTCATATTAATATCATTTCCACTACGATCCATCATAATAATGGTTAGTCTTAAAAAGACCTGTAAATTACATTTTAATAAATTATTTACTGATGACTCAAACAAAAAATTATATATTTTAATAAATACCTCACAAGTTAAAAATTCAGTCAAATATTGAATTGAAATCTTTGAGATTAAAAAATTTCAATTCGCGATAAATTGTAATGTCAGGTTGAAATCCAAATTGAATAATCTACGAAATAAAAAATATTTATAATTTGCATGTTTTTAATTAACTATAATTAATTTAATATATAAATCTTTAATGTGCATTATATAGGTACCATAATACATGATGAGCTATAATCAAATATCAAATGATGCATAAACATATTATTAGTAGGTACCTACTTCAATATTTATATAAATTGACATAATTTTTCATGTTTCTAGATAATCTAATTTGTATTTATAACATTGTTGAATACGCTAAATCATGTAGATTTATGGTTGTTAGATTGAACAAAATTATTGCCTAAATCATTAAAGTTTTAACATTTTTGTCTAAAGTTGTAGTTAAGTAATGTTGAAACATTCAAATCATCTTCAAAAATAATATAAGTGAAATGAAAATTCATAATTTTTGCTTACCCACATGTATAATGTAACGAAAATAACCATAATAATCATGGTAATAAGTTAGAAGGTGGTACACTATATAATACTAATGGTTGATTCATTTAAAAATATAATAGTTAACAATTGGTGACAATATCGCTACAAGTTTAATATGTTACTCTAAAACATTAATAGTATTACTATAAACAAATACAGAATGAAATGTAAGACAAGAATAAAATCATTTCAAAAAATATCCAAAATTTCATAAATAATAAATATAGTTAAAAAACTAATACCACTAATAGTCAGATAACATCTATTGTTGTTTAAAAGATTGAATTTAATTCCAATTATTGTTATCTACAACCTAACTAAGGATATTACAGCAGCAGGATATCAAAAGTATTTTTAATGTGATAACAAGTTCAATAAGTAAACAATATATTGCAAAAACAAAAAAAATATATAGTAAGCCTAAACTTTTCACGTTTTAAAACTATTTTAAAAGTTTAAAAACTTATTAAACTATTATTAAAATACTTTAAGTAGGCAATAGGAGTAAGTATTATTATCAAATGTGGAACTGTGGTAAGCACAGATTATGATAACTGAATTATTGAATGGGCGATGATAAGACCAAATAATTAAGTTATCAATAATTAAGTTCAGGTATATTTTATTATAATATAATAATTAATACAACATAAACATCACCGACATTTGTTTAGTTTCGATTTAAACCATATATTTGTACAATATGAATTATAAAGGTATCCTACTAGTAGCTAATACTTTTATATTTTATTCATAGCCACGAATGTAGTCCATTTCCAAAATTGATTTAACAATTAGTTACAGACACGAATAAAGACAATTATATTTTTTTATATTTCTGGTTACAACTTACAATTCAATAATTGTGAACATTTTGTAAGGCATCGCCGATAGGAAACTATTTGAAATAACGGTGTATGATACCCAGTAATGCTAGCAGTTAAAAACTTAATTAGATTTATAAATCATTATGATAGAAACTACCGATAACGAAAATAACACATTCTAGGGTACTTTCGTACGTTAGGGTATTTTTTCCCCCTAACTTTTAGTATACCTTGATGATATATTAGTAATTTAATTTATTACATAATTTTGAAATTCGCAGCACGGGAATTATGCACATGAGTTTAGACGCCGTCAACACGTTCAAGAGTCAAGACGAACATTGTTGTTGTGTGCGAGTATTTCCGAGATAACGGATGCATAAACAACGCCAAGTGCAATTGATAGTGGCGGGACAAAGGAAACCGGACGATATGGAAATGTCATAATAACGTTAATATTAGATAACGTCCGTTTCCAAAAATGATGGAAATTTGATACGATTAAAACGAATGAAATCGTAAAAATTATACTTCGAAGTGGAGGAAAAAATCCAAAACGCTCATTCGTATCTCCGATATCGTGTACATGAAGTATGGTGGGGGGGAGGGATGTCGAAATATTTTTTGCGTAGATTCACTTGGCGCGCTTAATCAAGTTTCGCAACAACACCATCTTTGGGGGGGGGGGGTATCGTGTCTGAACCAAGAGTTGGTAAGACAGAGAAAAAATTGCAACAAAATTGCCCAACACATTTTAGGCTCGACGGTTTGAAAAATCGACGATGCGTACTAACCGAGGAGCTCCTACTACAATTAATGTCAGGTTAATACCACTTCGAATACTACCATCCATACAAGTCTTCAACTAGTATTTCTGCCTACAACTACTAGTTGTTACTACTACTACTACTACTACCACTACTACTACTACTACTACTACTACTAATAGTACTACTAATACTGTCGCGGAGCATGACGGCATACATGTATATTATAATAATAATAATATTATGCCGGGCGCAACTCCTAAGGCGCAGCAACAACAACGTCGCGGCGGCGTCGGCGTCGACGGACTTCCTAGAGAAGCACCGCCGCCGCCGCAGCCGCAGTGTGTATCATGTGTTGTTCGTGTGTGCCGCGTCGATTAGATTACGCGAGAAAGTAACGGAAAACAAAACGGTCGCGCCCGGTCCGACTGAATATACCGGTCCGAACGCGAGCTCGGGGGGGACCCACCGATGTGGCAATCGGCGTCGCGTGAGGCCAACGGTTCCGTGGGCAGACAGAACGGGAAAAAAAGCCCAAGAGGCAGCACGCATGATATGGCGTATTAGAATCGACGCGACACACCGATGGTGACGATAATGAATATTACCAGAGTACGGCTGCGTACGCACCTGCGTGACGGGAGAACGGCGGCTGCGGCGTCGGCGTCGGCGTCAGCGGCGGCGGCGGCAGTGCCCGTGTTGGCCGAGTCCATCGCCCGTACGCGGCGCGCGCGAAAAACCGTCGACGGCGTCACCCCGTCCGGCAACGACTACCTCTTGGCCGCGACCGACCAAGTCTTTTTCACCGGCACAGCGTCTCTGAAACGGCCCTGTTCGAGGACACGGACGGCGCGTGTACGGAAAACCACTTCGGGGTACGTAACGCGAACACGGGCAAAACTGCGATGTAACGACAGAAAAAAACTCGCCGCGTATACCTATGTATGATATGACGTTATATGCGTATAATTATTTCATGTATAATATGGTTTGTATTGTATAATGGTGTACGTGTGTATTATACCGTGGAACACACGCACGTCACGGGGACGCGGGCTGCGCGTTGTTATCGATCGGCCCCGTCCGTCCGGCCGATCGATGTCGTCGCCATTTTGGTTGTTCAGCCGTCGTCGTCGTCGTCGTCGTCTACCGTCGTAACTCGTAGCAGCAGCAGTCGCCGCCGCCGCCGCTGGTCGTGCCGTGCAATCCGACTAGACCCTCACAACACACCCGATTGTCGGACGACTCTGCCGTCCGCGCTGAACGCTCCCAAACAAGTCACCCTCGAGACGTTAATAATATATATTATAAGATACCCTCGTATTATGTAATATTAGAATAATATTGTTTTATAATGTACCACGCTTAAAGGTATATTATAATGGTAATAATAATAATAATAATAATATTATTGCGCTTATTGCGATAACAGTTTTTAGTAGCAGTCGTCGGCGTTGTCGTCGTCTTCGTCGTTGTCGCAATTAAATACGCGTCTGCGCACCGACCCGTTCACGTCACTTTCGGATATTTCGCCGCCCCGGCGACACGTCGCGCCACTCGAGACAGTTCTCGCACCAGTACGGCTGTATCGTCCGCGAAAAACCGTTCGCCGAAAACCGCGGACGCCAGATCGTTTTCCCGTTCAATCGTCGTTTCGACACCCTAACAGCGGTGTGTGTTCGAGGCGTGAACACGCGCGCGCGTCGCAGTTGGTAGGCCGTGCGGACCCGTACGTGTCGGTGGTTACTAGTTTTGCGCGCGTCAAGTGCTGAGCCGCGGCAGCCAGAAGACATTTTGTCACTCGCCATACACCATTGGTGCGCGTGCCCCGCCATCTACCGGTAAATGAGACAATTCTCGGTTTGGTTTTACCCGCCAAATTTCGAAATCGTACCCACGGTGCCTTTATTTTGGGTCCGAGCTCCGTCTGTGACGACTTTCCAGCGTCAGAGAACCTATCGTTCTCCGAATGATTTTTTATTTATTCGCTGGGCACCAGTAGGCTATTATTCGTATTCCAAAAAATAACTGAAAACTGTGCCATCTGGTTGACGCACTAATAATTAGCTTTGATGTCACATCGAATCAGAATTGTTTAGAATTTTAATTTCTAATTTTTTATTAATTAGTGTTGGTGGTTGTTATTTAAAATATTATGTAATCAACTCAATAGAAATTATTATTTATGCTTTGCGAGATAAATTTTAAACGTTTTCGATTTGATAGACAGATAATTTATTAATGTACATCTGACACTTGTAAGGTTTAACTGATTAATTTAACTGAACTATTTCTTCATTTTCTATAGATAAATGGAATATTATTTTCATTTTAGATGTTTGTGTTAATGAAGGTAATCGATCAATGTTAGTAACCTTTTTTTATTGGTTAGTTGTTGATAACTTAAGCACATAATTCCCAATTGATATAATATATTTTAAGTATACTTTACAAATCACAGATCATTTATTTATACATTTTTTAACACTTAAAATTTCATATTAATTGTACAGTCAATGCCATCTATGATGACTTTTGGGCACTTCATCATAATCATCCATATCATCATCATCATCTTCACAAGAATGTGGATATTCTGACCTATGATTATCGTGTTTTGGCTTAAGTATTTCTAAATAAAAAATTAAACTCATTAACAAAGTTAATTTTAGTTAAAAATTTTAAATTTACTTCTCTGGCAAAATTTTCCAAACCATCCTTGTTGACATCGACAGATTCGATTTGCTGTACAATATCCATGACGACAAGGCCGTTTGCAATTATAATATTGTTTTATTGGTTGACCAATTTCACAATGGTCGCCTTGAAAACCAAATATACATCTACATTTGTTCACTCCTTTACATTTTCCACCATTTAAACATGGTATAATACATTTAGCTAAAAATGTTGACTATATATTAGAATTAATCATTTTACAAACAAGAAAAACTTACAGTATTCACATCGTAAACCATAGAACCCCTTAGGACATTGACATGTGTCTTTTTGTATACATTTTCCACCATTTAAACACTTTTCTGCACAAATACCTGAAATTTGTATGCAAAATTATAATACATTTTGTTTTTATGTTACTTTTGATCACAGGCAAACAATATTAAAATGAAAATGGTTGTGCAAAAAATGACATTTTCCAGTATAACTTTCCGACGAGGATTGCATGGTGCTAACAAAAAATTAGATAGTCTCATAAGAGTTAATCATGCTGGAGAACTTGGAGCTGATCGTATATATGCAGGACAGATGGCAGTGTTAGGTGTGTTGAAAAAATGTACTATTCAGTATTTTATCAATTGTTCTTAATTGGTTGTTTTTAATAATTTTGATTTTAGGAAACAGCAGCGTAGGTCCAAAGATTAAAGAGATGTGGGAACAAGAAAAAGTACATAGACAAAAATTTGAACAACTTATAAACCAGAATAGAGTACGGCCATCACTGCTATTTCCTTTATGGCATTGTGCCGGCTATGTACTTGGAGCTGGTAAATATTTGAAGACATAGATCTTCAAAAAAGAAAAAAATGTTTAATTAATATATAAATGGTATTTATAGGTACAGCACTTATGGGTCCTAAAGCTGCTATGGCTTGCACTGTTGCTGTGGAAACTATTATTGTAGAACACTATAATGATCAATTACGAGAGCTGATGGATGATCCTGAATCTGATAAAGAGCTACTTGAAACCATTAAAAAGTTTAGGGATGAAGAACAAGAACATCATGATTGTGGAATTGATCATGGGGCTGAGCAAGCCCCATTTTATGATGCATTAACAAAAGTCATCAAAACTGGATGCAAAGTAGCTATTGAAGTAGCAAAAAGAGTGTGAAGTTATTATCTATATGAGATCATATTATAATTATGGTTAAATATTTGAATTATGTATATTTTTAGAGAATAAACATTTATATTAATTGGTTAAAACTATTACCTCCTTCACAGTGTGGTCCTTGAAAACCTAGTGGACATCGACAGACACCTGGTGCAACACATGTCCCATTATTCATACACTGTGGATAGCACAATGCTGTTTTGCAGTACTGTCCCATATAACCTTCAGGACACTGACATATTTTGTCTGCATTGCACCAACCATTGTTCTCACATTTTTTATCACATACTAAATCAAGACCTTTAAATAATAAAATTATAAACATTATTACACAGTGAATAACGTTGGTGTCAATTCTGAATTCTGATTAATTTCCAAAAATAAATGTTAATTTATTTTAAAATAATTTATAAATAATTTAGTCAGATAATCAATTGGATAAATTCAGAATTCAATACCATTAATTAAAAATCACTAAAGTGTGTATGTTATAGTTCATTATAAAATCAACTAAATGTAAATTATTTGATACGTTAATGTTTTCTGAAAACAAAACACCTGATTAATGTTGACAAAAGTAATATGGTTAGGGGTTCAAGGGCATCTGTATAAAATATAGAAATAAATAAAAATAAAAATATTTTTTAGTTACATTTTTTATTTAATAAAAATTATCTTTGTTAAACAAATTCTTTATAAAAAGTCTAATAATTGGAAATTTAAACTAAAGAGCAATATTATACTTCATCATAAATATTTCCTCTTTTTCCTTTCAAATTTCTACTGATGCCCTTATTGTAGGTGAAAGTGATTATGCTGATTAGACTAGACTATTATCCAGAAACTAACTGTCACCCTCCTATATTTTTTTTAATTTTAAATACTTTGGATGATTTAACATAATACATGTTATAAAGCTAAATATTATAATGAATGGACAAAGATGTTTATTGATTAATTACGTTTGGATGAAAGCAAAGCATGTTTCTTACTTGTACTTTTACTTGTACCTCTAACCATACACTCTTTTCTGAGTTTCACTTTTAATGGTGTATCGGGTAAAGCACGACCTTTCCTGTTTCGTATCAATAGCCGTATGTTGAAACTAGCAATGCCAGATCTATTGCCGGAACACGGCAACAATATACTAAACACTGAAACCAATAGAAATACATATTTAAATCACATTTAATATTAATATAGTATGTATTTTAAATAGAATTGTATTTATTTTCTAGTATATTTATATACTTCGTATCATTAAACGATCAACAATTTTAAAGCTAACTGGAATAAATAACATGAAATTAAAAGAGAGCCAAACTAGACGATTGCCTATGGCCCAAAAAAAAGTAAAAAACATAAAAATGATTTAGTTACACTACACATTTTTAGTATATTTTTTGTACTTAATATTATTTATTTTTACTGAAAAAGTGAAACTGATTACATATTAGTAATTAGTTTATTCTATAGTACTACTATTAATTATATTCTAATATTATTATGAACAGACAGATATTCAGGAAGTAGTTACCTTTTTTAACATAATTTTTAAGAAGATTAAAGGGAAAAGAGAATTGAGATGGAATTTGGATAGGTACAGCATATGTATTAAGAGGACGTGATACCCGCATGTGTTGTCTCCGTCTTACAAGTGCGTAACATAGCAAATTGTACACTCAGCAGAACACGTGTAGCTCCGTTAATAAAAAAATTAAAGTGAATTGACCTCTTATAAAATCTAAAGGTAAGATTATTATCTAGACAACCTAATAGGCTTTTTATTATATTTTTATTTTAACGCGAGTTATAAGTATTTTAAGATGTATAAAAAATTTTAAATTTTAAAATACTCATAACTCGCGTTAAAATTAAAATATAAAAAAAAACCTATGAGGTTGCCTAGATAATAACCTTACCTTTAGATTTCATAAGAGGTCAATTCGCACTAATTTTTAAACTAACTGAGCTTCACGTGTTCTGCAGAGCGCAAAATGTGCTATGTTAGGTACTTGTAAGACAGAGACAACACATGCAGGTATCTCGTCCTCATAAAATAATGTATTACAGGCTACAGCTTTCACAGCCCATACTTCATCCGTATATTCGTATATTCATGCATATTTTATGAAATACTTAGTAGCCTTAATAACGCCACACACCTATTTAAGGGGTTTGATGTATGCAATCTTGATACATTTAAATTAACACTATTATAGTTAAAAGTCCCATACTCTTATGTCAGTATCAACTGACAATAATGGTTGTCCCATAAAAACGAGATGATATATAAAATAACTTATTTACAGTAGCTTTACCAGATGTTCATACTATAGAGAAGAACTTTATCCGTATCGATCGTTTTTATATACCTAAATGGCTATATACCATTACACCAATACTTCCTTGTTTGTAGTAAACAGATGAAAGAAAACAAAAAATAATGAAACTACGAATGAATTATTTGGAATTTCTTTATGTTATATAAAAAAAACCCCCGAAATAGGTAACAAATGAGGTTTTCCTTTATGTATTGTGAAAAATTAATAAATTCATAAAGTTACTAAATACCCGTAGTGTTATCACTGTGTTTATTCTACGCTACACCATTTTCATGGGTAGGCAAGGAAGCAGGTGGTGTAACTTTCAAGCTAAATAATAGACGTATTTTCATTTCAATATTTCAGAATATACTAGTTAAAGCATTTTAAATAATAACATACAAACACGTAATGTATTAGCTTTAAGTTGACAAAATGGTCAAATAAATTAGTAACCTAATATAGTTACTATTTTTTAAATGTGTACCTATGTTTATAAAAATATGACATTTATTCATTTGTCTTGTACTAAATCTAAGCATCAAATAGCCATGGGTATATATATATCATAATGTATTTGAAACATGTATAGGAAGGGGAACTGTACATTTTAAGTTAGATATTTATTGATTTGTAGTAGGTAGGTATATAGGTATTAAATTAGTGTTCTTATAATAATTAAACCTTCGACGATGTTCAATCTAATTAACCATTGTTCGATAATAATCCCAATGATAAGATAATAATGTCTATAATTCTAAATAGCTTACAAAGTCTTAATTATTGACTAAATGGAACAATTCGTATGAAAACATTTAATGTATTATAAAATCAAAGATTACCTAGGTACAAACAATTATCTTTTAAAATGTAATAACTAATTGTATTTATTGTTATATTGATGATATTTCATGTCTTTCTATAATTTTTTAATCTATGTAATGGTGATATACTGTGATATGGTATATACTGTATAAATAATAAATAGTTACCTATACCTAGGTATAGTGCATAAATCCTGAAAGTTGATCTGCAATGTAGATTAAAGTATGGGGGCACTAGGGCAACGTACCTACCTACTTATAGCTATACATAATTAGAACCACTAATTATATCATCATCAATATTCAATATAATAAATATAATATAAATCAATAATCGTATTAATTAAGAAGAATTATTCAATTTTTAAATAAATTGTTTGATACGTTTAAAATAGTATGGACTATGGACTAGTACACAACTGACAACTCAACAAAACATTAGGAGGGGGGGGGGGCGTACTTAGGTTTTATGTGTCATATTTATAAAATAACGAATAATACAGGTATTTTATTTGTGCATAATGTGTATTGTAATATTTTATTCAATGGGTCTTTTGTGTCTTGTCATTTTTGCGAACGCCTACCGCTTCATAAAACCTAATCCATAATAATATTATCCTTACGAAAACGGAATCTGTGTTTCGGCAGGGTGCCTTACACAATAGGGTGTAAGTAGTAGGTATGTGCCTACTGTAGTTCAATCATACAATAGGTACATTTATTACCGATTATGGTCAATTCTTTGAAATCTATAAAATCCTCTTATAGTCCTAAGCTCTAAAGGAACATAATATTTATGATTTTATGATTGTGATGTATATATGTACTTTGCTATATAGCACCTATACTTATACCTACACGGCTACACACTAGGTACAAGGCTAAGCGCATGTTCTAAACACAATTGATTTTCCCAAATTTGACAGTCAATTAAAGTCGGTGTCCAGTGGTAAATACTTTATCAAGTACTTTCCAGTATCCAATTTATAATGACTTGTAGTTACTAGTTACATTTAAATTAAGTATATTATATTATTTGTATTTATAACCACCGAATTGAATCTATTACAGTATTACCTATTACATCATGGTTTTAATGTCTTACGTACAATTATAATATATAAATATATGATCAATATTTAGTATAGTCATATAGTACACAAAATTTGAATAGTTATATTATTATACGATAAAAATATGTGTACTGCGGTGTACAATTAAAATTGTTAATGTTCTTGAATAGGATATATTTAATAAAGTATAACGAATAACGTAATTATATAAGGTACCTTTATATCAGAATTAATATATATTGCAGTGGCAACAATTTAAATGAAAAAAACTTACGTAGCCCGCTACTCGATATTTTCCACTACGAAGAAAATGTATGAATCATATTAAATATGTTTTTTAAATTTTTTTTGCACATGCTATAGTTTTTATGGTGATATACAAAGTCTTACGCAAAATCGGTTAGAATATAAAAATATCTGTACCCAACCCAAAAACATATTAGGTTAAAAAAATACTAATATCTACTATTACCATTATAATCAATGATAATTTTGAAAAATCCTTTCTATTAGTGCACCTTTACGCATGGCGGTACTGTCAAAATATATAGCCTTAACGCTAGCTATCATAGTTTATTCTCTACGTTGATCAGTCAGTCAGTTATTCAGAGAGGACAAGTTCGATTATACGTATTATATATTATATAGGCATAGGCATAGACTAGCTGTTCCACCGGCGTCACAAAGATATTTCGTTTTTATGTTTAAAAATGTATGTTACATTGCTATGGGGGATTCAGTGCTTTGTGCCGTTGCATATCCGGTGCTTTTTTCATGCAAAAAGTGTAAAGTCAAAGCCTGTGTTAGAGTATTAGCGTGATTAGTATACCTAAACCTAATAGTGATTCGTCTTTAAACTAA